ATGTCATTATCCATGTGCGACGTCAGGAATGTTAACACACCATGGTTTCCATTTCGGCGCGGCAGTACTTGCTGTCGAAGGGCGGGCAATGACTATGTGTTTGTTGCGGCTGGGTGCGGTGCTAAAGATCTCGTTCCGCTGAATCCGCCCCCCCCGGGTTACTCATTTCTTTTGCGGTGCTAACGATAACACACGGAGGGTTCTTGTTCGCTTCTCCCAGTTGAGCTTCCTTCTTGATCGTATGTTCGGCTGCATACGTGGCTTAGCCCAGCTTTTTTAAGTGAATTCTGAATGCCCTAGTGGGTTACGGGGGTCAGATATCTCCGCTAAGCCGCTAAGTGGGCGAAGTCCATATCGCCGAAAATGTTACCTCCATTTGCTACGTGGGGCCCTTGTAACCCACCGCAGTCCGTGGATTATTTGCAAGTGCGAAGTTAGATGAGGTGTGTCCGTCTAGTGACTAGTTCGTTTCAGTTGTGGTGGAGACGTGGCTCTCTCTTGATGCCCATTCATGCGGCAGCCGTTCAATCTGCCCGAGGGCCGCGTGCACACACGAACGCTCGCGGTCGGTAGAAGTGCATGGCTGGAGCCCGCGCCGTGGGCGGCTAGAACGCTCGCGCGCAGCAGAAGTGCACGGTTGCAGTCCACGCCGCGTGCAGCTGGAGGGCTCGCGTTGGGTAGCAAGTCGCGGCTGGAACCCGCGCCGTGGGCGGCTAAAACCCTCGCGCTCTGTATAAATGCGTGGTTGGAGCCCACGCCGTGGGCGGCTGGAGCGCCCCTGATCGGTGAAGACGTATGCCTGCAACCCGCGCCGTGCGCGGCTGGAGCGCTCGCGCTGGATAGAACTGCGCGGCTGCAGCCCACGCCGCGTGTTGCTGGAACGCTCGCGGTCGGTAGAAATGCATGGCTGTAGCCCGCGCAGTGGGCGGCCCGAACGCTCGCGCGCAGTAGAAGCGCATGGCTGGAACCCACGCCGTGTGCGGCTGGAGCGTTCGCGCTGGGGAAACACGCACGGCTGGAATCCACGCCGTGGGCGGCTGGAGCGCTCGCGTTCGGTATAAATGCAGGGCTGGAAGTGACACGTGACCTGCTGGAGCATCTCTTTGCTGTAAACATACAGGGTTGGAGCCACCTTTTTGTTGTCGGCGTCGGCGGCTGGAGCATTGTCCTCGGTAGAAGTGGGGGGTTGGAGCCGACACCGTGGGCGGGTGGAACATTTTCCTTTGTACAAGATGAGAGCTTAAACCGCCCCTTCTAGTCGGCATAGGCGGCCAGAGCATTTTCCCTCGTAAATATTTGGGCTGCAGCCTCACCCGGCCTAGGGCTTTAGAAATATGAGCAAATCCGGGGAGGAGGGAAGGACGGGCCAGGGGCGTGGGTCCTACGTAGCATTGTATCCACGCCTCGCTCCCAAGCCGTATCAGTCCACGCGTTCGTTTGTGGGTCGTCGATCGTCATCGATCGTCGTCTCGGTTGGCCGGTCGGTCGGTCGGTCGGTCGATCGGTGGTCGTCGGTCGTCGTCGTTTCGGTCAGTCGGTCGGTGGTTCGGTTCGGTTGTCGGTCGTCGGTCAGTCGGTCGTCGTCGTCGTCGTCGTCGTCGTCGTCGTCGTCGTGTCGGTTGTCGGTCGCCGGTCGTCGGTCGAAAAGCGCGCCATTGGAGCTAAAGCGATGACGGACGCAATGAGGTTGAGAGCGTGAGGTTGGGCCCCAAACCTGCTGCACATTAGAATGTCACCAGCAGCCCACTGACTGTAGTAAGTTCTGAATTAGACAGGTACGACTCACCCAAGCCTAGCATCCACTTGTAAACCGCTGGCTCCCTAGCAAGTTAGTTCACGCCAGATACAACTCACCTAAGCCTAGCATCCACTTCTAAGCCGCTAGCCCCCCAGCAGCACCCGTTGTCATCCCAGTAGGCCCATCGCGGCGTGGGCACAGATTGCTGGAGTCTCGCGCAGGTTTCTCCAATCGGAAGTGGGCTGCCTCTGGCGGGGCGCCTCCGGGGCTGGCCCTGGCGCGCTCCGCGCGCCAGGACACGGGCCCAATGCAGATCCGAGAAACACCCGCGCGGACTTCAAAATTCGGCTGCTTCTACGAGTTTTCTTTTTCCGTTCCCGGGGGGAGCGCATCGACCGCTAATCGCCCATTCATCGCCGATAGGGGCTCGACAGAGCCCACCCCGCCCAGGATCGTGGGGAGTTGCCATCGGGGGCCTGTCGCCGATCTATCGGCAATGCATCGCCGATTCTGGCTCGACGTTTTCCTCCCCGAGCCGGTTCACCCTTACCGTCCCCCCGCAGGACCGGCCCGACGGCGTGAGCTTCTCCGTGACACTGGAGACTTAACGGTACGAAACCGAAGAAGGAAGCCAAGATTTCTGATGATTCCTGGAGTGCACGAGGAACACATGCCGCTGCCATTAAAAACCAGTCCCTCGCTGCCACCGCTGGATTCGTTTCGAAAGTCTGGTAAGAATGCTGCCCGAGAGAGGTCCAGGGAGAGGCAGTATCGGTATCGTTTTGTTCCCCTGCAAACATAAACCTCCGAAGGTCTTCGCGGATTACCGGGCCGGCGCAGGGCCTCCTTGGTGGCGCCTCCGGAGTCACCGCTGGCGCGTTCCGCTCGCCCGGGAGGGGGCCTCAGCGCCGATCCGAGAAGTCCGCGCGGACCTCCAGAAGTTGCGCTATGTGTTGCACTTGCGGGTTCTTGCTCCCGTTGTTGTTGTTCTTGGACGGGTCCGCCGAGGATTTTCCGCGCTGCCGCTGCGTCGGCGCTCGTGGGCGCCCCGTACGCTGGGTGGGGGCCGCCGAGGTTGCGCCGCGTTGCCGCCAGAGCCGCCTCGTGGGCGCCTGTGGGCGCCTTGTTTGCTGGGTCGGTCCGCCGAGGTTGCGCCTCGTTGCCGCCAGAGCCGCCTCGTGGGCGCTCGAGGGCGCTGCGTGCGCTGGGTGGGTCCGCCGAGGTTGCGCCACGCTGCCGCCCGTGCTGCGCTGGAAGGCTCGTGGGCGTGACGTGCGCGGGGTAGGTCCACTGGGGTTGTGCCACGCTGCCGCCCGTGCCGTCTCGTGGGCGCTCGCGGGTGCCCAGTGCGCTGGGTGGAAACCCTCGAGGTCGCGCGACGTTGCCGCCCGTGCCTTATCGTGGGCGCCTTAGGTTCTGAGATTACACCACGTAGCTTGCGCCACATGGCTTGCACGGCATAGCTTACACCACAGCCCTTGCACAACATAGCGCACACAACATAGTTTACACCACTTAACGTTCACCGCATAGCGTTTTATCTCCAGCTCGCACCACATAGACAACATGGTGGCGTAGCATACATCGCATAGCTTACACAGCATTGCGACGCGCGTCAAATAGCCAGAATTTTTGTCGTCAGGCCACCTTGAGTTTCTTTGCTGCGCGAGACTTTTCCGCGGCGGTCAAGAAGCTGCTGCATTCAGGGTGCCTTGGGCTTCCCCCCCTGTTGCACCTCGCGCGCGGATTTTCTGGGTTGGGCCTCTTGCGAGGACTTCTTGTGGCCGCGTCCACGTTGCAAGCCCCCCGAGGAGAAGCCTTGCCTCATCAAACCTGCCGTCACGAACTTTGGCTCAGCGTGTCGCGCTGCCGGTTCTGACCCACCAAGCTGCGGTGTGACTTGCTAATCACTTCCCGGTCCCTGAGCGTCAACACTCAGAGCCTTTCCGGGCCTCTCGCCCCGCGGAGCCGAGCGACACACTATCGGCTCACATGGCGCAGCGTGTAGCCGGGGCCGCCGCCGCGACACTCTAGGCAGAAGTTCTGGACCTCAGGTCTCACCCTCCCCCCTGGCCTGCTCGGGGCCTTCCCCTGCCATCATCCGCGGACGACTTGTGTGCACTGTACCGCCTTGGCTCCTCCGAGGCGTCGTCGATCCTCTACCTGAGCGTGGTACGGTGCATTTTTGCCTTCCCTCAGAACCGAAGAACTACGCACCGTACCCAGACGTCTGGCGGGTTTGTGGGGGGAGACACGAGCCCCTGACCTCTCGACCACTTCCTTGGTACTGTTTTTTCCTCTCGAGCCGTTTTCTAACGGGCCCGAGGCGTGGCAAGGGTCCCGAGAGGCCGAAAACGATGCAAAATACCCCTGTCCCGATTTTGTTTCGAGACGTCGGATGTCGGGAGAACGCGCTGGAGAGAGGGGCCCGGAGGGAGTCCAGACATGGTACGGCGCAGCCAGAGGCCTCCCAGATGGGGTCCGAGCAGATGGGGTCGGAGGCTCGCGCCCCATCGCCGATGCATCGCCGATGCATCGGCGATGCATCGCCGATGCATTGGCGATGCATCGGCGACGTCGGCGGTGCATCGTCGACGCCAGCGCGAAGCAAGTCGGGCTCCACATCGGGCCGCATCGGCGATGCGTCGGCGATGCGGCGCGATCCTCCGACCCAGCCACTCGGACCCCCTCTGGGAGGCCCGGAGCAGTGGCGCCGTCCTCGGGAGCCTCAGGAGATGTGCGCGGGCGCGCCCCCGGGGCAGCGGCCCAAGGCTCGGGCGAGTGGCAATGGGGAGGGTGGCCCAGATGGGGAGGTGCAGAAAAGGGCCCTACAGGGGGCCCTTGCAGGGTGGGTCCCTTTTGGAGCCAGCGGGTGCCTAGAAGGGCCCTAAAGTCGGGGAAACGTAAGTCTCGAGTAAGCCAGAACTCGGGTTTGCCGACGCTTTTTGACGAGCGCGTCCTGGATTTTGACGGTCCAGTTTCCGTGGGATGTTTGCGGCGGGAGCTCGCGTCAAATTTCAGATTTGAGTCTCGTCATTTGTATGATGGCCCCGTCAGGCCAACCCGAGTACCCCGTACCCGAGTCTTACGTTTAAGTCGGGCTGTCCCTCTACAGGGGGAATATTCAAAAATAGTCAAAAAAGAAGTCAGAGGACGATTTTTCGTCAATTTTCGATGGTTTTGATTGCTTTGGGGGTATTTTTGGCTTTTCGTCCAAAATCCGCCTGTAGGGGGACATGCCCGACCTAATTTTACGTCTCCCCAACAGAGGGCCCCTTCAGGGCCAGGGCTGGACCTAAACGGTGTTTTTGGTGAGTTCGAGGGCCGTTTCGTTTCGATGTCTCGTTTCGGTTTCGTTTTGCGGTAATGGCGGGCTCGAGGCAAAAGCGAGGGACCACGAACACAAAACGAACACGAAAAACACCGTTTAGGTTCAGCCCTGTTCAGGGCTTTTTTCTTCGTCCCCCATTTGGGTCGGCCCCCCCCCGCTGCCGCCCGCCCGAAGAGGTGCTCGTGGGCGCCACGGCCGCCCCGCCGGCCGAGGGGTGCGAGGGCGTGCGGCTGCAGGCCGTGGCGCGGGACCCAGGCCCGCCGGGAGGGGAACAGACCACACGGGGACCACTCGGCACTGCTGGGACCTGCGCATGTTTTCTCGGCGAGAGCCACCGAGGACCATCCTGGACCCCTCGAGCAAAACAAACACGCACGAGACCGAACAGTGCACGGGACATGGACGTCCGAGCGATGGCAAGACCATGCATCGTCGACTCCCAGGCACAATTATGGGAAGATGGATGGAAAGTCGTCGGGGGGGGGGGGGGGAAGACGAGAATTCAGAAACGAATTCGGGGAACATGTGTGGAAATAGGGGGAAAGTATAGGATGTGAGGGGGAAAACGAAAATTCAGAAACTAGGGGAACATTTGGGACATATTGGGAACGCATGGGAAGTGGGGGGGAAGACGAACACTCAGAAACTATGGGAACATTTGGGAAATGCGGGGACAGTATGGGAAGTGGGGGGGAAGACGCGAACTCAGAAACTATGGGAAAATATGGGAAACATCCTGGGATGTGTGTTTACTTGTGTGTGTGTGTTTGTGTGTTTGTTTGTGTGTTTGTTTGTGTGTGTGTGTGTGTGTCCCTGGGCCCCTTTCGGCCAGGGGGGCGGCGACACGAGGACACTGCACTTCGCTGCGCGTCGTGTGCGCCCTGGTGAGGGCACGCCCAAGCGCCCAGAGTCGGAGGAGGCACAAGTTCCCATACCCCTACCCATCGGTCGGTTAAAGTAGGTATTTTGGGATTCGCAGACTCGAATCTACTTTAAGCGCCCTCCTACTTCAATGTTCGAGTGGCTTCACCTATTCCGTCCTCCTTAGGGGGCGGACGGAGCCCAATCTACTTTCAACGCTTTCTTGCTTTATGTTTCTACCTACTTCTTCCGACCGATGTTTACCCTTCCCCCCGTCCTCCCCTTTTTCGGCCTCCTGGGATGCGACTCCATCTACTCCGACCCTATCTAGGAGGCCTCTATACACACACATACACCTCCACGCCAGCCCGCCACCTGCCAGGGTCTGTGCCTTCCTTTCTCGCCGGGACAGGGGGGCGTGTGCACCGATCCAGGATGGCCCAGGATGCGTGGGCCTCGTCCGGGATCGGTGCGGGTGGCTTGCGGGGGGATCCCCGTGCCAGGCGCGCAGGCCGAGCAGTGCTACCTCCTAGGTTGCACCGGCGCCGTCTTCAGCGAGGGCGAGAGGGTGGGCATGGTCGAGGTGGACTGGCCTCCTCCGAAGGAGGACGCGACGTCACAGACAGTTCGGCGGCGTTGATGTGGGATGTCGAGCAAGGGGTGAGTAGGAGGAGGAGGAGGATAAGGAGGAGGATAAGGAGGAGGAGGAGGATAAGGAGGAGGAGGAGGAGGAGGAGGAGGAGGAGGAGGAGGGGGAAGAGGATGAAGAGGAGGACTGTCCGCGTCGTTGTCAATATCGTCGTCGTTGTCGACTGCGTTGTCGTTGATGAAATCGTCTTATGTAAGCGATGTCTCTCCCCCAATTCCATGGGCCCCTCCCAGAAAACTGGCCGCCTAGAGATGCAGGAGAGCTCGAGGATGCACTCCCGGGTGGCTATCCAAAGGCACCCCTGTCGAGGACGGACACCTCTGATCGTTCCATCTCTGAGTTTCGCTAAACATTTCCCTTCCCTTCCGAAGCCGGGGGTCACGTCTTGGCCCGCCGTGGCCCCACGCCCTGGTCTCAGGACGCAAATTGCGTGGGCCCCTGCCCGGCCCCGGGCCGTCCACCAAACGAAGGTGGAGGAGGAGGAGGAGGAGGAGGAGGAGGAGGAGGAGGAGGAGGAGGAGGAGGAGGAGGAGGAGGAGGGAGAGGGGGAGGAGGAGGAGAGGAGGAGGAGGAGGAGGAGGAGGAGGAGGAAGGAGGAAGAGCCCGCCCCGGGGAACTGGTGTGAACCTCTGTTCGACTCCAAGTTTGTCTCGGGTCGGCGGGCGTTCGACGCAGCATCGACGCGCGAGTGGAGCGAGCGGCTCCAGGAGCATCCGACGCGGACCCAGAGGCCCCGACGCCTTCCTGGGTGCAGCGTTTCGTCACAGATCCATGTTTGATTGTCCTGGATCGGGGGCCACATGCGAACCCTACCCCTACCCGCCACGATTTCTGAGGGGGTAGGGGTAGGGTTCGCATGTGGCCCCCTACTGGAGCCTGTAAGTGGCCCCAGATGGACACATTCAGATCGTGGGAGTCCTGCGATTCTGATTCTGTCTGCGGCAGCGGGGAACCTAGCTACGTGAGCTGATTCGCTATCCCCCCCCCTTTACTAAGAGGAGGAGGAGAAGCATGAGGAGGAGGAGGAGGAGGAGGAGGAGGAGGAGGAGGAGGAGGAGGAGGAGGAGGACATGGAGCAGGAGGACTGGCCTCAGGACGGCCGGTTCCCTGCGCGGTCCCGCGGCCGCTTGGTCGAGCTGTCCCTGCTCGTCGCGAAGTCGGGCGCTCTGCGGCTGTCGGTCGACGGGCACGAGGCGGTGAGGCCCTCGGGACACCAACGGAACAAGCCACGGACGGGACAGCCCCGTGGGCCACAGCGAGACTCAGAGTAGGGCCATTTGAGACAACGGTAGTTGGACATCGGGGGGGGCCATTGTCGCCAATTGGACCCCGGGAGGTGTCTGGGGTCCGATCTTGAGTTGCCGTTGTATCAGTTCGCCCTTCTAACAGAGGAGAAACATTTTGCCTGGCTTGGCATTTCCTACGGCCGACGCAGCTTCGCCTCGCCCGCAGGACGAACCGGAACCGACACCGATTTCTCTGTTCGGTTCGCTACGCGTTCATTTCAATTCCCTGCCCTCTTCTTTCCTTTGTCATGTCTCCTCCCTTGCCTCTCCTCCGTCCTCATAGTTCTGCTCCTCTTTCTCTTCCGCCGACTCCTCGCCCCCCCCTTCCTCCCTCGAGACATCCTCGTGGGCCGAAAAGCCTCTTGACCCCCCCCTGAGACTTCTGGACACCCCCAGAATCCTTCCCACTTCCGAGAACCAAAATGAGCAACTCAAGAGCCGCGAGACCTGCACCGATACGTCTGAACATGTTGAACATGTGCGGAACCTCCCTCAGCTCCTGTTCCGTCCTCCGTCCTCGTCCTTCTGCTGCTCTTTCCTGCTCATTCTCCTCTTCTGGCTCATCTGGCTTGGAACTCCAGGTCCATATGAGTGCCGGGTTTTCGGGGGAGGCTGGAGGATTCTCGCGGTGCAACCAGGAATATCCTTTGTCCCAGGTCGTAGTGGAGCGGTGGGTCTAGGCAGGGCTGCCTTGCAGCTTGTGCGTAGGAAAATCGCTGCAGGACCGCCCCTACCTTCTATCTACACGTGGGTTGATGACATGGTTTAGTGCAGATATGGCAGCAGCGTGAGAGTCTTAGCATCCCTTTCCAGGAGTAGGACTTGATTTGGTCAAGGGATTGTGGGGTATCAAGCTCCGGATTGCACCTAAGCCGGCCATGTTTAGTTCGGCCTGGGCAGTGGCCGTGAGTCTAGGGATTTGTCAAAGGACATGGCACAGTCATCCAGGCCAAACGTGTGGCTGGAGACTTAGCCATTGACAGGGGTCAGGTCAACTTGAGTAGACCCAAGCAGGCCATCAGAAGAGCTGAAACATATAGGCGCCTCGTCAGGCTCCGCAAGCTTGCCCGTGGCAGTAGGCTGTGCAAGAATTGGGCCTGTAAGATGGTCTTGACCTCGGCATCTTTTCAAGCTAGATCAGAGTGAGGGGGCCGAACGGTTATTCATTGTCCCTGGGTGTGTGGCTGAAGAAGGAATTCATGGTGAGAATTCTGCTTGTTGCATTGTTGTTGTTGTTGTTGTTGTTGTTGTTGTTGTTGTTGTTGATGTTGCTGTTGTTGTTGTTGAGCTCTCATGTCTGACGATTAATTAGTATTGTTGATCCCCCTTCACCGGTGCATACTGTTTTTCTCAATCAAAGTGTACCCCTCGACGCTCGCACCTTGTCTTTTGACAGGGGAAGTCTTCCTGCTCAAGCTGGGCCCCTGGCCCCCTGGATTACATCAGGGGCACACCGGAGCCTCGGGCCTCGCTTTTTTCGGGGGCGGCCAAGGACGGGGGCCGTGACGTCGTGACCGGGGCCAGGGTCGATCCCTGGAGTTCGCTCAGGATGGGAAAAACACACACAGACACAATGAATCGTCGATCCCGAGGAAAATATGGGAAAATATTGGAAGTGGCGAAGGATTGCAAAAAAACCCAGGATTGCAAAAAAACCCAGGGTTTTTTTGCAATCCTAGGTTTTTTTGCAATCCTTCGGGTTTTTTTGCAATCCTAGGAAGACGACAACCCGGAAAATATGGGAACATATGGGGAATCTTGTCATTTGTGTGTGTGTGTGTATTTATTTGTGTGTCCTTGGGCCCCTTGATTCGTGGCTTCCGCTCCTTTGTTTCAGCGCGCCCCGTGCCCCCCCGTGGGGCGCGCGCATGCCTCGGGCCCTGCTCTGCGAGGCCCCCCTCTGGGGCGCCCCCCCCCGCGTTCTGGACGCCCGCGGAATCGCCGCGAGCCTCGACGTTGCTCGCCTCGCGGCGCCAGGTCCGAAGGGCCCTCTCCGAAACACTCCCGCGGGGCGGGCCTGTGGAGCTCGTCGCCGTCGTCGTCGTCGTCGTCGTCGTCGTCGTCGTCGTCGTCGTCGTCGTCGTCGTCGCCTCGGCGTCGTCGTCGTCGTCGTCGCCTCGGCATCACCCAGACATAGTCATACGATGTGTGCGTCGGCCTTCCAGGAGCGGCGCGCGCACGCGCGCTCAGGAACCGGGTGGTATCACTCAGAGGCCAGAGGATCCTGGCCACACCGCCCGGGTAGCGAAGCACCACGGGGTGAATGAACGGTATGCTCGGTTCGGACGTGCGCCATCAGGAGGGGCACATAGTGTTACGGTCGGAGCAAAAGTCTCTCACCGTGTCCTACTGCATCCAATCGTTTACCAGCCTGAAACATATATATATATATATATATATATATATATATATCCTTATCCTTGGAATTCGCATCATCTCAACTCGATGCCGATCTCACATATTCCCTCAGTCTCTGGGAGCACGTTTCTAAGTTTGTCATCGTTTTTTATCGGCGGCGAGCGAGGGGGGGAAGTAAAAAGGGTGGCGGGCCTTCGCAGAAGGCTCGGAAGTCGCCCAGCCTTCAGAGAAGTCTTCTAAGCCTTCCCCGAAGACACAGGAAGCTTCTCAGAAGGCGGGGGGGGGCGGCTTCTGAGAAGTCCTGCTGCCTTCCGAGAAGGCCTTCTCCTTCTCACTTCCCCCCCTCGCTCGCCACCGATTTTAGGTGCCGATCTTGGGGACGGGGAGAAGTCCGAGGCTTGTTCGTCGTCGTCGCCGCGTCGCCCGCGGGTGCTCCGGCGCGCAGCCCCGGCGCAGCGAGGTCGCGGGAGGGGCTCGTGCCGTGGGGGCTCGCCCTGAGCGCGCGGGACTTGCTGCTCCCGATGCTGTTGGTGGAGTCGAACGTCGCCAGGCGGGGTGGGGGGCTCCGATCCTCGCAGGGGAAACGCTAATGAGACAACCGCAGAGAAACGCGGATTTCCATGGCAATCTTGTCTCGGCTTCCTAGGTGAGGTCGGAGTAGAGTGGGGCGGAGGATCGCGCCGCATCGGCGATGCCTCGGTGATGCATCGGCGATGTGGCTCGATGTGGGACCCAATGTTCTCCACGCGGACGTCGCGGATGTACCGCCGATGTCGCCAGAGCATGGCCGATGCATCGCCGATACATCGGCGATGCATCGGCGATGCGGCGCGATCCTTCGACACCATCTACTGGGACCCCGTCTAGGAGGCCTCTGGGTAGGGTGCTCTGACCCTCGTGCTCCTTCCAGGGGAAACAACTAGACATAAACACACATATATATATAGATATAGAAACGCGGATCTCCACGGCAATAACGGAAAGAGACATATGATAACTCAGGGAATTTAGGAACATATGAACTTGTGTGAATTATTGACACTTCGCGTACACCCGCCAGCCTGTTGCCTGGGCCGCCTTTCCGCCTTGCTTTCCCCTCCACTGGCGATCCAGTTATCCGTCGAGCGCCTGCACGTTCGCCTTCCTCGACTTCGCGGTCGTGGTCTTTGTTTTCCTCGTGGGCGCGGTCGGGACCGTCGAGGGCTTGGGCATCAATTGCTCCGCTATTTGGGCGCTGCACGCTTGCCAGTTCCTCCTGGTCTTCCACGGCTTCTGCATGTTCGACCTGGACTTCAGCTTGTTCGTCCTGTGCTGCAACGTCTTCCTCACAACATGAGCTGCAGCGTAGCTCGCTGTTGTCGCTCCTGGCCCGGCTGCTTTGTTACTTTGGGCGCGCGGTCATACTGCTTGCGCGCGCGCTCAAACCAAAAACAAAAATAGCATACCCCCACCAGCCCATCCAAAACATATGTTCCAGGCGAGTATGGCGTGGGGGGAAGTGTAGCAGTACGCAATAGAGCTGCTGTCTTGGAAGCGTGGGAGGTCAGCCGAAGCGACGGGAGCATTTGTTGAATAATGCCACATGTGTTCCGATGCCGCGCCATTGTGTTCTGCGGTGGCGCCTTGGAAGCGTGTTAGGGTTGCTGATGTGCTTGCAACAATAACCAAATTCAGCGAGAGTCGTTTGAGGGAATGATTGGGGGCTTCGCGTGAGCAGCCAGCATGCGGTTTCGAAGCGTTTCGGCGTCGCAGACGCGGTGAAAGCATGTGTTGAATACGTTGACGCATCTTTGTTCCCCTAAAGCGGCGGCTCCATTTGGTTCTGTTGGGGGCCCTTTCGGAGTTATTTTCGACATGGCATCCAGAACACACGGCCGTCTGAACACCTCCTGGGATCATCTTCGAAGTGAGGAGATTAAGGCAAAGGAGGAGAAGGACGAGGGGGAGGAGGACGGGCCGGAAGAGGAGGAAGAGGTTGAATTCGGCACGGGGAAGATGAGGATGAGGTGGAAGGGGGAGGAGGCTAGTGGTGTGAGATATTTGTTCCCTGACGATTCCGAAGGCCATCTTCGGGGCTCATTGGGGAACGAACGAAGGGAAGGAGGATGAGCAGTCAGGTTTTGGGGATATGTTGTTGGGAAAAGGTTATTGGGTGACTACGAAGGCCATCGTAGAGGCTCTCCTGGGGTCCTCGTGGGTTTTCCTGCTGCACCCTTGAGGTCCTCTTGGGCGCTGCCTGGTCCTTTTGGGGGCCATCTTGGGTCTCTTTGGGGGGCCTGGGAGGCATCTCGGGGCCACGCTGGCCCCCGAGGCCCCAGAAGAAAAGGGGCAACGGATTCACGTCCCCTCCCCATCGGAGGCTCAACCATGATGCGTTGAGGTCTTTTGGAGCCGTAATTGAAGCGCTCTTGGCCGTATGCTGGGCCCTCTTGGGTCTCTGATGGTCCCCGTTTGGGGCTCTCTTTGGCTGTCTTGGGGCCGTGTGGAGACTTCCAAGGCCCATCGGAAGCGAAACGGCGGGAAGGCAAACAAGAATGATATTTCTGGATTTCTTACCCATTCTGGCATGTCGGGGAGGTCCTTGGGGAACTCGAATGGACTAGAAACCGTCGTGGGGCCGTCTTGGGGCGTCTTCGAGGCATATCGGAGGCTGTATTGAACAATGTTCAGTTCTCTTTGGGCCATCTTGGAAGCCAACATGGGTTCTCTGAGGCCCTCTTGGAGCTTTCCTGGGCCATTTTGGGCGCTCTGACCGATCGCCCCCCCCCAGGTCCAGGGGAGCGGGTGGGGGGAGGGGTCAAGCTACCCACCCGCCCGCAAGCCGTCTAGCTCATTCCAACCTGCCCTCCCAACGCAAAAGTAGCACCCGAGCCTGAGCATGTTTAGCGGCCGTTTTTGGATGGGCAGCTTTGTTGGAAACCAAAGCCGGCCCCAGTTGCGCAACGCTTGGGCGAGGTGCGCTACGCGTGACAGGGGCGCCACGCGCGCCAGGAACCCTTGGGGCCCGGGCGTGCCAGGCACGCCTGGTGCGCCAGATGCGCCACGTGCTCCGAGTGCGTGAGGTGTGCCGCACACTCCAGCCGCGCCAGGTGCGCCACGTGAGAGCACACAGCGGGAAACATGTCGGCCCCCACCATTCCTGTCGAAAAACAATGCCCATCATTGTGTTTGGTGGGTCTGCGCACAGCAGGCCCCGTGCCACCACCTCCGCCGTCCCTATCAACAGCCATTTGTCTGACGCCCCCGCCGTCCTTGTCAAAAGCAATACGAAGTGCTCGCGGGCCTCACGAAAACGTTTCAAGTTTTTACCCCAAAGCGTACTTTGCATTGTTTTCTGACAGGGATGGTGGGGGGAGGGGGGGGCGCATCGGGTTGGCCGCGCATGCTTCAAATG